AGAGAGAGAGAGAGACTTTAACTGAAATTCACCCATTTCAAGAAATAACAGACGGCCATGAAGAAAACCCTAATTGAGCAAAGAAAAAAACTCAAATCATAGAAGAAAACCCTACATGACCAGAAGAAAGACTTCCAACTTAACAGTTCCAAAAGGCCCACTAAGTTAAAACAAGTATACCACCATATTCATACAACGCCAATGGACAAAAATCTAACCTTCAATGGTCAGCATCAGAGAAAATGCCAATTAATATGAGTCCACAGGCAGATAAACTAAGAACCATGGAAAAAACCTCTAAACGACTGCAGAAGAGAAGTCTATTCTACCCATTTTAGAGGAAAAGGGGAAGAAAACATCAGAAGAGAAACCCTAATTAAGGGAGAGCCGGTAATGACCTGGTGGTGCGAAGTAGTCTCCTTTTGTGAAGGCGAAAGGTGGGCGGCTTTATCTCTGAATAAGAACGGGAGCAGAGACTTCTGCGCGGGGCAGAAAGGAAGAGGCGCCTAGCGCAGGCCTGGATCGCCCTTGACATGGTGCCTACAATGGAGGTTGTGTAAACCCTAAACCCCCAATAAAACCCAAGCTTGCGCAGATAGCGAGCGGATGGGTGCCCCTTCTCAACTTGAACGTAGGTTCTATAAATACGAAAATGGTTAGCAAGGAAAATATGATTTAAGGTGGGAAAAGAAGAAAATATTATTTACTCAAAAACAGAAAATTCCATTAATAGGACAAAATAAGTTTTTTTTTTTAATTTAATTTTTACTTCACTCGAAATACATAGAATAAAAGAAAATATTTACTCGGTGAACCAAATTATGCAAACCATAAAAAAGGAGAATATAGCAGGTTCGATTTCACCGTTCTCAGTGAATAATCTAATTCCTCGTATCCAAGAAAAAAAAAACAGAAAAAGAAAAAAAAAATCCAGATCTAAAGCTATATAGCATCAAATTCCAGAATATTGACCAATACAAAAGAAAAGAAAAGAAAAAGATAGAAATAAAGTGAAACACACAGAGATGAGGTTTGACAAGAGAAGCCTTGAAAGTCATGTAATATGAAGGAAGAACATCATTCATGTCCCATAGAATTGTAGAAAATTGAATTCGGGCAATCTGGTTTTAGACTAACGGCTTGAATTTTCAAATGTTTAGGGTTAAATTGATGTTTCATGCTTTTTTCATGGACCTTTGAATTTAAATATCAAGGTGTGAACATATTCTTTTGTTAACGGATTACTTTCTTAACCAATTTCAAGACAACAGAGGTGCCGATCAATGAAAAGGAGCGAACTGAAGTAGTTACAATACCAAATGGAGAATCAAATATAGTATAAGAATGCTATATCCCCAACCCAAAATTGACTTGAATTTTATGGCGGACTAGGGCTCAGCATCGAAAACTTTACAGCTGAGATATCACATAGTGCGGAAGCAATGAAGATATCTTGAATTTCCTCAAAGGCATCCTCTGAACTTCACGAGTTAGGACTTGTCCTGCTTCCCCTGCAAATCACTATCAGTGGATCGCCTTCCGACTGTGACAGACCAGAAACAGAATGTGAGGATATTGTTATCCAACCAAGGAGAACTTTGGTCTTAACTTCCAAAGAAGCCATTGGTCCTGATCAAGCCAGAAAAAATCTTCGACACCACACCACACAAACATCATCCCAAATCAGACCCTCCATGAAATCAGAGGTTTACCTGAGATAGAGTCAGGGTTTAGAGCCTGAGCGAAGAACAGGGGCATCACTGTGATGATTGCAATCCATATAAGAAGGATGTGCTCCCAAGAAAGGTTCCGAAAGATGTTAATATATTGGATATATTTAAAAGATTGGAAATATTGGCCAATTGGCCAACATTAATAGCACTGCCTTACCTGCACCAATATATGGCTGATATGTAATGGTGAACCACAAAGTCAAAATCCCCCTTATTGTTAAGTATTTGTAGTGGTCATTATGTATCAATGTGATGGCTGATATATCGATTTTCTCAATGTATGAAACAAGCGAGCTATATGAACACCATTATATTCGTTTGTGTCTGAAAAATCGATTAGAAATCCATTATTTCTTGGAGATATTAATAAATAAAAATTACACTATAATTTTATGTGGTATAAAGTTTCTTATGTCCAATATTTTCAAAATATCGGTCATTACACTGTTGCATACTGAAAAATTATCATTATTTTCCAATTTTAAAACTATTGGTTTAGATCGAATACAATGTAAACCCGAACGCTGATCTGCTGAACATAAACCAGGCCAACTGTTGAAGGTCTTCTGGAAGTGGAAAATCAAATGAGAAAGTTGATCTTGAGGTCTCCTTTGGGAGGGAAACACATGGAAGGGTCTTCCATGCTGAAGATAGTACTTAAATTCTGTCAACCAATTCTCCATTCTCTCTCATTTTTTCTCCCAGATTAGCATCCAAGACATAATATTGAACTCAATTTTCTCTCTTACTTTCTCCCAGATTAGCATCCAAGACATAATATTAAACTCAATTTTCTCTCTTACCACCACAGTATCTCCTCTTAAGATGCGATGATATTACCCCTTGAAATTCATTGGAAGATTGCCAACAAGGTAGAGAACTATAGAGAAAATTCTCCCACATGACCATACCTTCCTTTCTAAATTTATTCGTATTGTTGCTCCATTCCACATTCCCTCTAACATGTGACAATCCACATAGCCAGTTTCTATCCCCCCTAACCCACATGATCACCTCATTTCCCTCTCTACTCTTATTTTTGGTTGTTTAGTGCTATTTTTTATGCTATGCTTGATATATTTAGGATTGGACATTTGCGGGCCTGGAGGGAACTTGTGTATGACCAAAGAGTTTGAAGGGTTGGCTGTCTTTAAAGGCAATTCACAATGGGCTCTCAGATGGCCTGAATTTCTTTGATTCTATGGAGCTAGAAGGAACTATTTGAGAATTTTCTATTATTGAATTGTCAGAGATATCAACCTTGTGTATTTTTATTATGTAGTATGGTGGCATACAGCCTGGCATATTTGGACATACCTAGAATAGAATACGGCATTTGGATATTTTTTTGTGACTAGGGGTACCATACTTCCATTTTGTATTTTCACCGCACTTTAGTTTTGTTTATTAGAGTTAGTTACCTATAAAGAAGAAGATTACTCATAGATGATATAAAGTGGATGTATGGCTATTGTTTAATACCTTTAGACTTAGGGTTGGGTATGGAACTCAAGGATTTATTTGGGTGCAATTTATTTGTGAAATTTTCAAGCTTAGCTATGCATGCATCTGTCATGCATGCGTCGCTGCATGTATGTGTGTGTACACACGTATGTGCATGTATTCGATCCCATTTAATAGGTATGGACTATTTCATAATTTTAGGTTTTCCTTCTGTTTAGTAGATATATGATCAGACATTTGAAAATTTTATTCTTTTCTAATTTTTCACTTTAAAAGTTTTTTGTTTGCATGTTCAATATCATTTCTACTACTTTTTACTTACATTGTACAGTATTTGATGACTGGGTATATATGATTTTGGTTCTCTTGATGTTTAGGTGTCAGGGTTTTGCTTGAGTAACACTGGAAGGATGCCATCTAAGTACCCAGTTCTTGGCAATCGGCCACTTGAACAATGGAAAGTGGCAGTATTGAAAGATGAACTTTGGAGACGTAATATGATAACTAAGGGTTTAAAGGAGGATTTACTGAAGCGGTTGTCGGAAGCAATTCTAAATGATGAGAACTGTGTTCAGGAAAATGTGGGCGATGGTTTGGATACTGAAGTTATTCCTCAGGTTCAGCAGAATGACAGATTTGGGAAATGCACCAGTATAGCAGCCAGGTGAAAATGAAGCTAAAAAGAACAATACTGAGTCCATCATAGATGATACTGAAACAATGATAACAGCAATGCCATTCCCAATTAAGGTGCTGAAGCTCAAGAGAGTGAATTGACTGATTCTATGAAAATTGAGACCTCTGAATTCATGGTCACATTTCCAACGGGTTCTACAGAAGTCAGCATTTCGGTGAGTCATAGCCCTGTTAAACAGATAGAATCCGTTGAGAAACAATCTAGTTATGAAAGTCTGAAAGAAGACAAGGCATCAAAGAGTCCCAACAAAAGCGAGGAGCCCAACCTTGTAAACTAGATAGAGTCCATTGACAAACAGTGTAGGCATGAACCTGTGATAGAAGGTGAGGCATCCAGGTGTCCTATCAAAACTGAGGAGCCCAACCTTTGCAACCCAAATTCTCAGGTATCTGAAAAGGGTCCCAACAAAAGTGATGAGCCCAACCTTGTAAACCAGATAGAGTCCATTGACAAACAGTGTAAGCATGAACCTGTAAAAGAAGATGAGGCATCCCGGAGTCCTATCAAAAGTGAGAAGCCCAACCTTTTGAACCCAAATTCTCAGGTATCTGAAAAGGTCAGCCCTATTTCAGGGGTTCTGCTAAAGAGTGATTCCGTTTCTAGCGATTCTTTGAATGCTGATAATTAATGAAAATGAAAAGAATGAACTAAAGGATAATTTGAACGCTGATAATTTAGATTTAGAATTAGAAGCTAGTAATCCAGAGGGGGCCTACCAATCATCCACTGAAGTACCTCCAGTTGGTGGTTCTTTGGATGGTCAAGAGCCAGGTGTGTATCAGAGCTCTATGAGATTGATGAGACCCTTGCTGCTGGTACCCATGCAGACCTTATCAAGAAAGTTGATAGTGCAGATGGTGGTTCTTCTGTAAAACTGAATTTAGATAGAAGTTGGGGGGATGAATCACTGGAGGATGATGGATTAGAGAGTAAACAAAGTGATGTTATTCAAAATACTGTTGAAGTCAGAGACAAGGATGAAGTATCAAAATTGTGCCCAATAAAAGAGGACATTGCTTCTGTTTCTGCTGTGGCTGATTCCTCTCCAAATGAGAAGAATGTTATTGTAGACAGAAGCAATGACTCAGTGAATATTGGGGAGAAAAGAAAAATTGAAGGTGGTATGTACTATTGCATTGTCTTGTTTACATGCATAATTAGTTTTTCGTTCTGTGATTTGGATATATTTATTGCTTGTACTATTTGAATAATTTAGCTTGAATTGTGTAATAATTCACCATGATGTTGGAGTAATGCTCTTAGGTTTCTAGGTCTAGTAAACAGTTGTGGTCCAAGGCTGCCAAAATTTTGCAAAAGCATATTTACAATCTTGCTTTTCCTCAGTAACATGAAAAGTTGCTTATGAATTAAATAATAAAGTATGTATAGTTTCCTCTTTGGAATAATCTAATGTTCTCAAATCTCCTATACATTTCTACAATAGTGGGAAGTTTTTCTTTCATAGATTTGGGTACAAGGAATGTAAGTGATAATTAGTGTATTTCCCAATAATAGTAATTTGTATGTAGTGGGTGTAGTGTTACTATCCTGCACCTTGTGGTTTTTCACCAAAGAGATCTTTGAAATTGCCTTCATGCTATCCTGCACCTTGTGGTCTTTCACCAAAGAGATCTTTGAAATTGCCTTCATGTGCATGATGCAAGAGTATTGAGGCAATAAACTTTTGTACCAGTTTTTATGCAAACCCTTGATAAATATTTGGAAACTGTAAAGTTTTACACAACTTTCGCATGTTAACCAATAAAAGCTAAAAGCTACATAGTTACATATACTGTCATTTAGATGTATTTCCATTGGTACTTTGGTCCTTTTCTCGTCAGTGTAAATTTCTTTATGGCCTGTTCTCCAAGTTTACTCTAGTTGCAAGTTGCAACAGACCATATATCGTGCCGCTTCATAATATTTCTGCGTATAAGGCATTCAACTTGTACCAGAGAGGAAGAAAAACTTCCCTCTTTGAGAGCCAAGTACTTATTGGAAGTGTCTAACTTTCCCTTTCATTATATTTACCCTTATTGCACTATTAAAAGGCTGAAAGAGGTAGTTCATGATTGTGAAATATGACTTCTAACATTTCCATGATTTTGAGTTTTTCCTTTCTTGTTTTCAAGAAAAATTGCTATTTTTATTTTATGAGAGTATTAAAATAATTGATACTTTACATGTTTTATTATTGATTTTTCCCCTTTTATCATGTGCAGATCAGGAGGCACCCAGAGTCAATGACCCTTCAAAGAGGCAGCGTCGGTGGAACTCAGAGCCAGACAGGGTATCCGAATCTCAAAATTCTCTTCTCCTCCCCTTAGTAATTCTTTTTCTGTGCCTAGAGATAGATTTTCATCCTTGCCTAAGACCACACTCAGTAATCCCGACTCTCCTGATAATGGAGGTGCCCCTAAAGAGTGCATTGGTAAGCTTCATTTTGTTCTTCTTCCTCTTCTTCTTCTGGTTGTGCAAGTTGGGCTTGCAATAGTTCTTTTTCCCTTAGTTTTCAAAAGTGGGTAAATTGGTTTTTAGACTTGACTTTACCATGCTTTTGATTTGTTTGAATGGGTGGTATGGTAGTAGTTTCAAGAATTACTGTATTATACTTGGAATCATGCAACATGTAAGTCATGCGAAATGCAAATTTCTTTTTTAAGAAAATGTGAAATGCAAGTTGGGAAATAGAGCTTGCAGATAAGCATTTGGGTATGCATGCCATGAATACAATAGAAGCCGAGGAAGATTTACAAACTTCTTTTGAACTTTCTGTGGGAAAAGTTTCTTTTATTTGTCGGTTGTTAAATGAGTAACTAGTGTGGGTTCTTCTTTTTTCTTTAAAAAAAAAAGGAAGAAAAAGAAAAAGAAAACTAAAGTGGGTTCATAAAATTTTGTTATGCAGTTCCTTCATCGGAAAAGCCTGCAACTACGTCTTTGAGGATTGACCAATTCCTGTGTCCATTCACTCTAAAAGCTGTTCAAGAGCTTCTGGCAAAAACTGGGACTGTCTCTAAATTCTGGATGGACCACATCAAGACCCACTGTTATGTCACTGTATGTCTTTTTATACATAAATACTCTCCCTCGCTCTCAAACACACACTCTCTCCCTCAGCCATAAATTATTAAATATCATATGCTTGGTGATTGAAAAGAATAATAGTAGCAATTCAACCAAAAAAAAAGATA